CGGCTAGCGCAGATAGCCCTCGTGCAGCTTTGCGCGAAATTCAAAACAAACAAACAATCTGAGGAATGAATATTAACCTCAGCTTAAAAAATGTTAAATAAATATTAATTAAAACTCGGAAAATTCAACTGAAATTATGTACAATGGCTTTATTTCAAAATAATTCTTAAGGGGGGAGTAAACTTATGTTAGCATATAGAACGTTCGTTTTGGAAGAAACTTCGATCAGCTTGTACGTGATGATATTATATACTACGAAGTCTTGGAATGGGTAACTGTATCCTTTCCCAATAGGAAATGACGTCCCTGATTATGTGTGTGTATTTTAATCAAGTATCAAGTCCCCGAAGTATTTGTTTTGATATGCCTTTACACTACTGTAGTAGATTCGAGAAAGTATATTTGAATTAATCTTTTCATAAATACATTAAAAGCAAAAAAAAAGTCGAACGCTGCAGTGTCCTATTCTGCTGTTTAGTAGTTGCGCGTTTGCTGCGCAACTGTACAAAAATTCCTGAAAAAATCGTATTAAGGAAATAAAGTTAACCGATATGTTACTGGGAGAAAAGTTCGTTTAGTTCTGCAAGATTTGTACATGTAATTTTCAATTCTTTACTAAAACTAATTCAAACTTTCAGGTATATTTACGTTTGTCGTGGTCATATTCTGGTTCTTCTGTTGTTAGTGTGAAAGTACTGTCAATTTCATCGCACGACTTCTCGTAAACACGTTGTCTGGAAACAGTGAGCCTGGCCACTGGCTTCATTGGGGCGCCACTGGGATCGAAAAATGGGGATTGCGAATTATTCGGGAATGTTGATGAAATCCGCTGGATTTTTTCTTGAGGTTTGGTCGGATTGTTCGGTGACTAAAAAACGAAGACAAGACAATTATGGTAATAATATACATACAATCACATATTTAAAGAAGCCCGTAAATAATGTTGATACTTCACACACACACACACACACACATACTAGAATAATTGTTCAGAATTATTAAATTAAGGAAATAAGCCAATAGGCGGTAGCAGCTATAGCCCGCATATATTACTATATTTAGTGCTACTTCACACGGATGGATAGATGGATTATGCGATTTGACATTAATAGCAGAAATAAATGAACCCATACATTACACTATAACAACAAAGGCAAATAACGTACGTTGTAATATTAACAATACTGATAGATGAACCTATGTACTACACTATAAAAACAAAGGCAAAGAACGTACGTTGTAATATTAACAATACTGATAGATGAACCTATGTACTACACTATAAAAACAAAGGTAAAAACCTATACTATGACACTAACAACACTGATAAATGAACCTATGCACTATGCTATAACAACAAATGTAAAGAACCTACTGTGGCATTAACAATACTAAAAATGAACCTATACATTATGCTATAACAACAAAATGTAAATAACTTACACTGTGACTTTAACAATACTGATAAATGAACCTATACATTACACTATACCAATAACGGTAAAAAACCTACGTTGTGACGTTAACAACACTGATATATGAACCTATGTACTACGCTATAAAAACAAAGGTAAAAACCTACACTGTGACACTAACAACACTGATAAACGAATCTATACATTACACTATAACAACAAAGGTATATAACTTACACTGTGATATCAAAAAACATTGATAGATGAACCTATACATTACACTATAACAATAAAGGTAAAGAACTTACTTTATGACATTAATAATACTTATAAGTAAACCTATACATTATGCTATAACAGTAAAGCGGTGCGATATTAAGAAGACTAATATGTTATGAACACCGATAGATGAGTCTAAGGTGTATTAAACTGAAACACAATAAAGTAACCTACAATCTATTTTAACAAACAGTTGCTGAAACCATGAGCTATGCCATTACCAACACGTTCCATAGTGATATTATAAAAATAGATAACGGTATATAAGTGAACCTACTATGTGATTTTAATAAACAGTTATTGAAACCATGATCTATGTCATTATCAATTCGTTCTATGGTGATGTTAAAGAACAGATAACGGTATATAAATGAACCTACAGTGTGACTTTAACAAACAGTTACTGAAATCATGATCTATGCCATTATCAACACGTTCTATAGTGATGTTATAAAAATAAATAACGATATATAAGTAAGCCAACAATGTGACTTTAACAAAACAGTTACTGAAACTATGAGCAATGCCATTATCAATAAGTTCTATAGATACGTTAGAAAAATAAATAACGGTATATAAATGAACTTACAATGTATGTGATTCCACTGTCTGTGCCAGCATCCCAAGGGTACAAATTCATCACCTTATCACCCATCCAGGAGCAGTTCTTGAGGCACAGTTCGAGCGTGCTGACCCCCACAATCCAGTCAGGGCTAGGCCCAAGCATGCTCAGAAGGGACATCAGATGATGCTTTCTGTCCACTCGGAAAACGGCAAATGTCTTACCATTCACGCTCGGATACCATAGTCCGCGTGCTTTGATGATTGTGCGGATTTTTTCGGACTAGAAAAAATTACGGCTCTTTAATGCAGTGAATAAACTTATTTTAAAGAAGAGAGAACGTTTCAGTGAAGATTTAGATAGTGAATGTCCATTACAAATTCAATTATACCCTTGAAAGTCTGTACTATAAATGACCGTTAGGTACACGTTATTTGTAAAACATTGTTCAGTACAATATTTCTTATAAACAGCTCAGGCCAAGTATAATATTTTAACAAGACATTATATAGTAGTAATTTTAAAGAAGAGTGTATTTTGAGTTAATACTGAATTTACTCATTAAAATTTAACAGGATTTTGATGAAATTCGAACCAACCAATGAAAACCCAATGAAACCCAATGAAAATAGAAACAGAGTTCTAATTTTGAATTTTTAATCTAATTGTATAATTGTTTCAGTTTCTTCATATTGGTTACGTTACATTTTCATTAAGTTAAGGTGAAATAATAATAATAATATAGCTTCTGTATTATTAGTATATCTTAACTCCGTCGCAAGTGTCTCTATATCATCAGTACAACTCAACAGTACCTCAAGTGTCCCTGTATTATTAGTACACCTTAACTCCGACACAATACCACAAGTGTCCCAGTATCATTAGTACACCTTAACACTACCTCAAGTATCCCTATATCATTAGTACACCTTAACCCCGACACAGTGCCACAAGTGTTTCTATATCATTACTACCCCTTAACAGTACCTCAAGTGTCCATGTATCATTAGTACATCTTAACAGTACTTCAAGTGTCCCTGTATCACTTGCACACTTTAACTATCACACAGTACATCAAGGATCCCATATAAGTAAATTACTAATCTTGTTTTTTTTTTTTTTTCGTTTTTGCCCTTGTTGATGGTAACATAAAACATTCATGAATGTGTTTATGTATGTTGTATTTTTTCAAATTATAACAGTTAAACTTTGAATAAATAGTTTATATTTAAAAGAATTAGAGAAAAATTCTAAATCAATTACTCATTGCTACAGACTTTAAAGATATATTTCTCGTTATTCTGTCAAAGTTTGACTTAATACATAACAGTATTTCCTCATATGTTTATCCAAATCAAACTCGTGGAATCATGCAGGTAGCTTATAGCAGTTAACACAAAGACATGCAAATAGAAATAACATCATTAAAGAAAGTATCTAATGCAACAAAATAAAGGTTTCCGTTGTAACCTTTTTTGATAAAACTTCTCTTTGCAGCCAGCAAAAGGATGTGTCTGTGCAAGCTCTGGAACACCTTTTTTTCCTGCTTCGTTGAAAATATATTTGGCAAAAAAAGTAAATACATCTAAACAAAATATTAACAGGGATTTCTCACAAATAAGAGAAAGTTTGTTTTATTTCATCAAACAGCTGCACAATAGTCTAGCTGTACTTTGCCCAATGCGAGAATCTAACCCCGAATTTTAGCATTATAAGTCCTTAAGCTTACCATAGAGACACTGGGGGCTATGACACAAATGAAGAGTATTTTACCTCAGCTTTTAGTTCCGCTTCCAGCTTTTTTGTAGCACCCCATTCTGCAACCTGGCGGACCCCTTCTGAAGCAAATCCACCATACTCCCACATCCGAAAATCTGCACTATGGGAGGCGCCGATTATGTCAGAGAAATGGGTTAGCCATTCATCTACAAAAATGACAAATTAATTGTCTTAGAACAATATTAATTAAATACTTCCTCCAGAGGTGGTTAATATTTGCCATGTTAAAAATAATATTACAGACAAACCATCGGTATTGTTTCACTGCAGGCAACAACTTTCCAAGTAATATATATTTGACTAACTTCAAAAATGATTTTTTTTTACTCTATTGAAATTCCTCTTTGCCAGCTAACAGTAGGAGATCAAACTATTTGCTTTACAAAACTACAGCCAACGCATTATTTGTAAATTATAAATAACAAAATAACAAAATTCATTAAACTCAGTTTCAAACAGTTTTAAATAGTATAAAACTAATAGATAAACAAATAACTATATTTAAAACTTTTGTTTTTATTTTTTAAAACCATTTTGTTTCTTAAGATTTACTTAGCATCATCAAGTGGCAAACTTTGAATGGGAGCGTCAACAGTTCGAAATTGTCACGCGCTAATGTATCAGTAAAAATATTACATCATTAATCAAAAGCTGTCGGTTAGTTTCTTCGACCGAAAATCTACCACAGTTTTTCATCCCCTTACTTGCGGATTTACAGAGCTTTTTTTCCCCCCATTTCACCAGGTTAACTTGGCATCATCTGATGATGTCAAATTAACCTGATAAAACGTCGTGAAGTAAAAAAAAAAGAACGTTTGTATTGTAAATCCGCAAAAATAGTGTCGAAATTTGTTTGCAAAATTGCCCGTTTTTAGTTCATATTTAACATTAGTCTTTACACTTAATTTGATACAATGATTTTGATGAGTCAGTGCTGACTTCTATTACATTTTTGCTTGATGTGAAATGTCACTGCTGATATTGTAACACGCGAAAGAATAAAAACTTTATTAAGCCTAGATTTTCAGGTTGAGAACAGTCCTTCTTCAGAGGCATAAATAAATAAAAACAATACATGACAGTTTCGAACTTTTGTAACTTTCATTTAAAGAATGCTACCTGGTGGCACTAAGTAGAACTAGCAAAATGTAGCAGTTTGAAAAGTTTTTGAAACATAGTTATTTGTTTATCCAGAAATAAAGAAGACCTTAGATTGACAGTTTCTTTCAATACTTCATTCAAGTACATAAACTGCAAATGTATTCTGTACAGAGGGTTGAGTACATTATGTTACAAAGATTTGGAGCCTCAACATGTCATTACAGTCCATCTCGCCACTTCTTGTCATGCTCTATCAAACTACTGTGTACGTTGACAGTAGTTCTGTAGTGTAGTTTTTATTACAAAAAAATCTCCGCCGTAATGCCTTTGTCCAAAGCACACCACTCCTACCTTCAGGACTTTCATAATCCATCTAGTATATGGGGGGAACAACAGTTTCTCAGCGCCCGTTTCAACAGTCTGATCACATAGAAATTTATTAGCTCTGTGTCCGGTGGCGACTTGCCGGGTATGTCTTCGTATGGAATTGTATAAATACCAGTTTCATTCTCCAGCTGCTTGAGATATGTGGCGATTGAATGGGAGGCATGACTATAAGCCTTATCTTTGGTGAACTCACAGCCTGTTGACCTCGTTTCCAGACCGAGATATTTCTTGATTATATCGCGTACTCTTGTATGGAGCACGGTTTTTGCCAATGACCTTTGCAGCGTGAACATGGCTTCTCACCTGTTACAAGATGCTGAACTTTGCTTATCACGGCCGGGATACGCTTGTTGCATGTCTCTTACCGAGTGATATGGGTGTCCCAAGTTGATCCGCATTCCTTTGTTTTCCAATTTTATTAAATATAAATGATATCCTTGTCCTGGAAATTCTAAATCCCGATGTGAGTGTAGGATTATTTTGCGTCGAATAACAATTGTTGTTTTCCTTCTCGAAAGCGATTAGTCTTTGGTGGTATCACACTACCTACTAAAGCCAAATAATGTCAATATAGTTCTGATCCATTTCGTTCCGCTACATAATTACATTGGCTGGAGTTGTAATGTGGCTTATTGATGTGCATTTTCAAAACCATTTAATATAGTGCAATGAACCCTATAGTTCAGGCGCATTATTATATTTATTATAGATTTAAAAAGTAGAAAAATAAAAATAATAATAAAGTTAAAAATTACGGTGGTGTTTAGGAGAATGCACAGAGTTTCATTATAAAAATTCATGTCTGAACTTGTACAAGAGGATTTAAAAGAAAATGTCTGAATACTGAACACAGAACTTCATTAAACTAAATGGCTAAGAATTATATAGAAATGTATTAAACTGAATGGTTCAACACTGCGCAGAACTTAATTTGGAAGTTCCTGTTTGGAAACTGAAATTTTAAATTACATGACGTCTGAGTTATGAGTAAAAGTACGCCAAACTTATAAAAAAATAATGCATCCAGCTAGATAAACTTACTGTTTGGGAAGTCTTTGGGGTGAGTATGTCGTGACCACAGTCCTTCAAAAGTAACCTCGTATTTGGCTTCGTCACAAGCACAACAGTCCTCAAGTATCTTTGTTTGTTCTTCGAGACTTTCTTTTTCTGTTTAAAAATGAAAAGTGATTTATAGGACAGCTGGTGTATAATCCCCGAGAGGTAAATAACTAATATCTTCCAAGCACTATAACACAAAATATGTGTTATGTTTTACACAAATATACAGCTGAGAAAAATACAGTTTTGTTGTTTCGATTTCTGTAGAACGAACGTTATGAATAGTATAATACTAATAGTAATTACTCTAATTAGGCACACTAAAAACATGTATTTTCCGACACTAGGGTGGTTTTGACAATGCTTTAACTTCTCCTAAACTCAGGTATTGAAGCTTCTAATGATAGAAATCCATTGTACCAAACAATTAATGGATAATCGAAATACGTTACATTATTGCTATAACAAGGTAAAAAAAAAGCACTGTTATAATAAAAGTGCATCAATCCACCCCCTCCCCAGTGTTCCAGCCAGTCTGATGAGCCGTGGTACTAAGCGAAAGGCCTCGTCGGCCTAGATATGGCAAATATAATGTGATTGATATATTTCAGCATATTCACATTTGCTTTCATTCACAAGCTCTTTGAATTATAAAAATCAAGCGTCTAATGACCAGTCATGTAATCTGAAATGCAACTGATTGATTATTCAGTCTATGTTACATTTTATATACATAAACATCCACCCATACACACACACACACACATATATAGTGATCTCACTCAGTCTGGTCTTAGTCGTCACTTCGAGGTGATTTACACAGAATAAAGTGCTCCATATTGTTCATGAACTATGGCTACACCTGAAACAAAACATTTGTGTGGTTCACGCCATCCGACAAATGGAAGCTGGCTAATCATAACAGCATGTTGCAAATCAGCTTACGGTGTTCAAAGCGTATTTAGCAGTATGTAAAACCACTTGGATCCTAATCGTGTAGTTTATTTGAACTCTTGGACAAGACAGACCTTCATCCATAACACCAGTAGACGACAACTATCTGTCAGTTCTTTCTGGTTCATCGCAATCGTAGCGCACATCAGGTGGCTACGGACGCAGCGTAACTGTACCGATTGTTAGAAACAGACTTAGAAAGCAGACCTGTGTGCAGACACTCGGTGAGATTCGCTCCGCTCACAGCAAACAATAAAACAGTTTGTCTCTCAATATTTGCTAAAAACTGGCGAGTCCTGCTGTACCAAACGACAGGCGTAATACTTAAAAATTTAATTACAAATACAGCCCCACTTTCGTACAGGAACACTACATATATGGCAGTAGTGTAAGCGTAATGTAAGAAGAAAAAAGCACTGACATACGTACCGACCTCTACGTCTCGTAGAATATGAACAGAATATCACAAACTTTTGAAGTTATGTCTACACTAATTTCTTAAACAGGGTTTAAAGCAGTACTAAACTACCGTAGTGTATTAACCACCATTAGTTTTATCTCTCGTTAGTTTAAGTTCTTATTACGTAAAGTTAATACTAGTTATATAACAGTTCCATATATGGCATAACATTACGTCATTAGTTAAATCACAAACGTTTTTGTTTATAAATTTCATTGTCATATTATTGTTATTTCTTTTCTAATCTTATCGTTGCTGAACTTCCCGAGTTTTTTCATTTACTTTTCAGGTACTTCTGAGGGTTTAACTTTATTTATTACTTCCTGTTTCCCACTCCGTGTATTTTGTTAAATGACAGAGGTTAATTAAAGCCGGGTTGGTTGTGCTGGACACTCCTCATAATATGTTTAATATAGTATTTTTCTTTTTATTACATTTATATGGTTATATTTTAGTTAGAGTACCAATATTATAGTTATATATTGTACGATTTAGGTATTGAATTTCTGATTTCATAAACATTAGCTTTTAACCGTACTATTTGTACAGACCTGCTATTCGATTCTACAGTAATATATGTTGTAGAAATTTATTATGGTGTCAGGCTCCTTTCAAGTTACGCTGTCAGAGCCTTTTAACGTGTTTTGATTGGTCACAAGACATTTTAGGGAGGGTTGTGTAAAGTTGTTCTTATACACAATTATAATGATTATGAAAAAAATATGAGTGAAAGTAAAGAAGATTGTTATAATATGTCAACCTCACCAAATCTGCTATATACAGTGCCGACGAGGCTTTTCGCTCAATACCAGGTTCAATCAGCCCGGCTGGGATATGACAGACATGGTAGTGATCGAGTCGCTACTTATATCATCGATTGCTTGAACATTAATTGTTTCGGTTTCAAATAGATTATTTATTATTTAAGCCAGAAATAAGTTTATGATTTTTATTAACATAAAATTATTAGTTTAGTACCAAATTGTATAAATAATATTCATACTACATTGCTCAACGAACATTAAATATTCAACAGTACTTAAAGCTAAAAACTATTATATATACGTTTTGTAAGTAAAGTATACTCCATTCTCTCTTAAATGTTAATTTCATTAAAAGTATTGGTCAACATGTTTATTATATATATATTTTTTACAATTTTTTTATTGATATATATATTTTTATTACAGAGAGTACTTTGCATTCTTAGCTTAGTATATGAATTTCAGAAAAAATCTAAATATCTTAGATTGGCCAAATCTCGTGAGATATTATTGGGTTTACGGCCGACAATATCGTTAACAACTGATGAAACAATGCATTCTAGTTTTATAAGTAAGAATGTAAAAATAGTATACTTAATTACGTATATTTATTACAGGATTTATTTTGATTTTACATTTGAATAGGTAGTTTGCTCTGATCGGAAGTTAGTAATTAATGCCATACGTTGTAGGGATCACATCATACGACCATTTGTGTTCTTTTTCAAGTGACTCCTGGTGATAAATATGGTCTGAAAAGAGCTCTATGTTTCAGAGAAATATCTGAGGATACCTTAAGATCTCATCAACACTCTGGTTTTAAGCATGTTCCCCGGCTGCTCTTACTGCGTGCGCTGAAAGGAGAATCATTTACATTTCAAATCACGTGACAGACAATCATATGGCTGATTTGCATGAAAATGGACTGAGGAGAGTAATTTACGTTTTTTCATAACCGTAATTTTTGTCTCTTCAATCTTCATAGGTAAAATATTATAAATGCCAATTAACCTTTAGCTATTTTATGCAGTGTAAAAAACTGATGTTTATCGACTGCAGCAAGTCTATTTTAGAAACGTCTTTTATGGGCATCATTTTTAAGAATTAAGTTATTAAACAAACAGCGGGCCTACCGAAGTCCTCAGTAAAAAATATTTTATGTATCATTATTGGTGTACCGTTTTTCTCTCTCCTTGGAGTTCTTTCATATTATCGGTTTGTTCTAAAAAAAGAAAAATTATTACTGTTTCTTGCTTTAAAGTTATTTTGATATTTTATATTAACAATTCAAATCTCTAAAGACGTTTATATTCTGGAAAACAAAGTAAAAGACAACTATTTATCTGACCTTGTATTTTATATTTCTACGAACGTGCTGACAAACCTAGCATTTTTATACACGTTAAGTATCTAATTTTTGGTGCTAAGTTATTCAACTTCCTCAAATATTTCGATATGAGTGGAACTTGAAGAATAAAGATTGGTTTCTTTTATAGAATTTTCAAATTGAAATTTTGCAAGGTTTATATTTTGATTGCCTCGGAATAGTGTACTTGTAAACAGACAGAGGTTGTAGGTCTGTTTTCCGTCTACAAATTTATCTACGAAATATTTTAGAGATTTAACAGTATACCCCGGTCTGTTTTCCGAATAAGCCTACAAATCGATTTAGTTATGAAGCCTCTTGAATGTTAATGTTGAATAACTCTTAGGTAAAAAACATCCACGAATCGCTTTTATGTTTATATATTCAGACTACACAGCAAAGGTGTAATATAACGCTTTCTAAACGTTATTCCTATGTGACCCCATTTTGATGCATAAATAATTACGCAAACCAAGGGAACATCCAAAACTACATAGCAACCAACACATTCAGAGGGAGAATTTTCAAAGCTTTTAAAACCAGAACAAAAGTAGATGTAATTGTAATAGTTTTCTCTCGATCCCACCGGCTGAAAACCGTAACACCTAATGGGGTCGCGATCCACAGTGTGGGAACCACTGGTATGATGCAAAAATCATTGGTCATGATATTCTTTAAGTAAGTTGTGAATTTTTTATATAATTGAAATGTTCAATACCTTTGGTAAACATTTTGCGAGTTACAAACTTATTTATATATATTTGACGCCTTATAGGAATAGCCTGAAAGGATGGTTCGAAATAAGTCTTGGGAATTACAGTATAGTCAAATATGCCAGGCAGTACCGTTGGAAAAACAATATTGCCAGTTACCAATATAAACACAGCATAAAAAATCATTAGATAATTTTAGAACTTTAATCTGATGTAAATATTCTGAACTTATATTTATATTTGATAACTTGGAAATTTATTCGTGTTAAGACAATGAATATTTTATAAGATGTAATATATAGTTTCTTCTAAAGGTGTATTTTACATGTTTTTAGTTTCAGAATTTCGTTATGAAAGAGTGATTTTATACCAATTGTCGCATATATCTTGATCGAAAAGAAGCTAACCAGAAAATAAATGTTCGTGGAATTATTATATTTCTGTACTATTTGTCAGAACGTAAACGTTTTTACAATACTAGATGTATTTCCGTAGTGTCCCCGAAAGTGTTGCATTTCAAGAATAAATAAAAACCAAACTTAAGAGCAACAAATATTTTTATTTCTTGCTTTTAAAACTTCTTTTGTCATGTTGTGTTGTAGCCTACAGAATGTATAATTCGTCTCGTGATTCATGGCATGCGCACGTTTTACTGGCGTCACGACAGTACAAATGACAACGTTTAGCGTCACTTATGTGACGTCATTTTAGTGTCTACTGATTGACAGACAACACATTACTGTATAGTGATGCGATTGGTTAAAACAGTTGACCCGTCCAAGCCGTCTTAGGCCCCCTTTGGGGAAAATAAATATCTTGTCTCGTAAGTTAGCCAGTGTATCTTTTTCAGAAACGTTGTTGTGTAGTGACCACTTGAGTTTATTCTCCTACATTCAACACACACACACACACACACACACACACATATATATATATATATTCTAATATTCCGATTTGTATATACAATTTATACGACAGGCAGAGACATTTACGAAAACTTACTTTCCTCACAAAGCACCCGAGTCAGTCCACCATCATCCATGTACCACACGTTTCGATACTCAACCACTGTTGCTCTATGGAGAAAATAAGGTTCAAGTTTTATCTTTCATCTATTAACATTCTATCGTTAATCTAGCATAAGATTCATAATTTATGTTATTTTGCACATGATATACCCGATTAAACATTGTATAAAGTACTGCACTTGTAATTTTTACTCTTTTTTTACTGGTTTCATATCGGACGGAGTAAAAAAAGAAGGAACAAAGTAAGAGGGAGCTTATATTTTCGTCTCAAAGGCAAACAGGGTATACGTTTAAAGTATGAAATAAAAATGTTTTAGACAATATTCAATATTTTTACTGTCGTGTGTTGTAGGACTTAGTCATTTACTTCTATGGAAATTTAAAAGCTTAGCAGCGAGTATAGTATCGCTTATTTGTTTGTTTTAGTACAAAGCTACACAATGGGTGATCTGAGCTCTATCCGCCACGGGTAATCAAATTATGGATTCTAACATTGTAGGTTCATAAACTTATTGCTGACTATAGTATAGTAAAAATATAATAAAATGATAGAACTGTTGGAGACTTTTAATGTACTTTTGTTGGTCACTAGACATTTTAAAGGAGGATTATATAACGTATTGCGTATACTGGTGTCCTTTCTGAAGGACGGAGAATCAGTGATAAAAATTAGTTGTTTGCTTCATGCACTATGTCTGGTAAGTTACATTCAATTCTTCCTTTAAAACTAGGCTCGTTAACAGTGTCAGCTTTGGTGCTCATTATATATAACATGATTATTTATCACTGTTAGCTAAGTATATGGATTTAAGATTAACCAAACTCCCTAAGCTGAGCGGATTGCAAGGTATTATTGGGATTACGGCCGAAAATATCTATAATGGCAAGGGTACCCAACTGGTAAATCAATGCGTCCTAATCATTATAAGTTTCTGTTTTATGATATTGCGTACACCTGGTTAGACAATTATATTAAAATCACTAAATTATTTCTGGTTAAAATTTTAGTTCTATCAATGTAGGTAGCTTGCTTTGATCAGAAGTTGGTAACAATAGATTTGATAGTGTTGTGGTATTCAGTAAAATCAGTTAGTCTAAAAGTCATTTTCCACAATTTGTTGTATTTATCTTCACAACTAAAAATATTCGATATCAAAATATTACAGTAAAACCTTTCTTAGTTATATTTTAAGATATAACATACTGTATTATAAAATAATTACAAGTTTATATTAATTTGTGAAGTAAGTTTATTTAGCTGACGAAAAGCTTTTTTCTTATTAATATTTTCTAGACATAATTTGTTCATTGCTTAGAATAGCCAATTGGATTATAGGGCTTTGTTTTCTAAAGTGAAAAGTTGTGTTTCGACCCCCAGTCATTAGATAACAGTATACTGAAATTAATAGAAATATAACACATATTTATTTTTTATCTTTGTATGTTTATGTTCTCTTATACGATTATGTTTAGTCAGAAAGGTGAAACATCTTGGAAGGCTGCAAGCATCCCACTCCCAACGGATCTCTTTCCATTATATGTCGAGTGGGTTTCGACACCTTTACTATACCCCCTTTTCTTTTCCATAAAAAGTACTATTTTTCTAATATGTTGACTTAAATGTTTTAAAATCTTTGCAAATCTCTCTTGCTGCTGCGGCCCGGCATGGCCAGGTGGTTAAGGCACTCGACTCGCAATCTGAGGGTCGCTGGTTCGAATCCCTTTCACACCAAACATGCTTGCCCTTTCAGCCGTGGGGGCGTTATAACGTGATGGTCAATCCCACTATTCGTTGGTAAAAGAGTAGCCCAAGAGTTGGCGGTGGGTGGTGATGACTAGTTGCCTTCCATCTAGTTTTACACTGCTAAATTAAGGACGGCTAGCGCAGATATTTTTTTTAATTTCGCGCAAAGCTACACGAGGGCCAAAACAAAAACATCTTGCTGCTGCTTAAGACGTAGGAAGGTATGGTATTTTCTTTCTTCTTAAATAGTTGTTTATTAGATAGACAGAAGACATCAGTGGTTAGAAAAATAATGATGGAAGTAAATAAAGGTAATCTTGATCTACAACTGTGAATTAATGGATGTCCATGTTTGATAATAAAACTTGTTTCTCAAAGTTGTATTTCTAGTCTTCATAACGGTCATACACGTGTACGAATTACACTGTAGAACTTAAAATGACTATTTATATAAAAATACGCTAAAAATGGAATTTCTCCTTTATGATAACACAGCTACCCTTCTTTCTGACCGGTATGAAATTACGATCTCAACTAATCACATGTATTTCCAACTATGACCATGCATAACACTTACGACTAGCCTGATGCTACTTGGCATTGGATAAAAACAAAAATACATATTCTAAAATAGGCATGGTATGAATAGAAATACTCATCGTGTATATTAAAAGTATATTTACTCTAATATTTTTCAAAAGTAAGTCATACTTTTTAAATAATATTACTGTTTAAATGTAAGTTAATTTCATATTATCTTTGCCAAAACATAATATAAATTTGTTTAATAAATTGTGATGTTCAAAACAAATACACTTAGATATAATAAAAACAACAACAGCCAACAACAGATTGTTTATTTTAGAAAATTTGTGCAAAGTCTTTACTCAAGGGCTATATGAGCAAATCGCACGTAATTTTGAAATAATATATTAGAGTGAAGGCATTAAGTCAATATCTCAAAAACGTCTTAAAATTTCCTGGCTCACTCATTTTGAAATATTGGACAACGCAGAGTTGGATTATGTGTAAAAATGTTAAAACTTATAGATTTATCAATGGTATAATTAATTAACTTGAACAAACATATCGAAATACTACTAGAATATCTGATACCCAAACTATATTTTTTTAAAGATTTTGACGTAAATTGTTCCACAAAAAGTAAGATTTTACTTTTCAAATTTCTGTACTTTCTTCACCTTTCCATTAACAATTTTTTTTGCATAAAAATCTCGAATTTCGTCATTTACTATTAAAATATTTTCTTTCTAGTGTTCACGGGGCTACATTTTACCCAGTGATTAGTGTGCCAGATTACGAATCTGCGGGTTTAATGTTCTTCTCCCAAAACTACCAAAACAAAACACAACATTGCACTCTGTACCTTAAGGCCAATTCTCCGGAGGCTGGCCCAGCAGCTAAAAATCTGGTTTCAATTCACACGGTGGACACAGCACAGATAGTCCATTGGATAGCTTTGTGATTAACAAAAAGAAACCATACAACACTTGGGGATCAGGGGTATGCATAATAAGGGTGACAGTCAATTTCCACTATTCGGTCATACAAGAATAGCCAAGGATTAGCGATGGGTGCTAAAAATAAGTTTTTGATATCTTTACAAGTCATATTTCTTGCAGTATTTAAATTATCAACGAGTTTATGAGTTACAAATGACCCACATAAGCGCCTTTTAACTTGATTTTAAGGTAATGTTATAATCAAATAGGTGTGCTTTCTGTTGATAAATAGTGTGTATAGATATTTTTCAGAATGTTGACAGGACGTATACATCTAGTTCAGTAAAACGACGGTTTCTCAGGGTCGGTTTTAATGTGCTGTTGTTAGTCTCAGGGAAGGCAAATATAATTTTAGGTTATACCTACAGAAATATTGAATGCAAATCTAAAAAAGTTAAAATGTCATTGTATAGGTCATTGGTTAAGCCACATTTGGAGTACTATGTTCAGTCTAGGACTAATTACCTCTGAAAGGACATTAATTGTCGGAAAAAGTTCAGAGTAGAGCTACTAAGATGATATATGGGATGGAAATGGTTGTCTTACGAGGATAGGTTAAGAGATCTCTGAGCTTGTTTTCTCTTGAAGATAGAAGAGTAAGAGGGGATCTGATGGAAGTGTTTAAAATTTTAAAGAAATTGATAGTGTTGATACCTCATCTTGTTTTTTGTATTCAATGGTGAGAATGGTGAACACAAGTATAAATTTTAGCATGTAATAAGTTATCTTCAGCTAAGACAGCTTTATTTTTCTAACAAGGTCGTTGGCCTTTGAAACGGGTTACCTTCAGATGTGGTAGATATAGATAATTTTGGGGAGTTTAAGAGAAGGCTTAGTAACTATATGAATGATAAGGGTTGGCTTCGAGTGTTTTTTAGTGTTTAATTAAATTTAGCGGACATTAGTTAGGGCTTCACTCCACCGGCAAAAGAATGCCGCCTCACGCTAATTGGCTGCCTGGTGACAACATTTGGAACTATGACGTCTTCAACTTTGACGGTTCTCCCCTTCCCCCCTTCCTGAGGCAGCCAATCAGCGTGAGGCAGCATCCTTTTGCTGGTGAACTGCAGCCCGAACTGACGACCTATACGAACCAAGAGGTCCTTTGTTGTCCTTTTATGTCATGTTATACTGTAAATTCAAGTTACAGTGCACACTATTGTATGCTCTAATCTTCATTAAATAATGGGACATTTGGTGCATGCTCCGAATGTGATGTCAGTTCGTTTTTAAGACATCCTGTTCACATCACTATTCTGGTTTTGAGTTGTAGTTAAAGACTAGTCAAGCTAAAACTTTGCATGTTAGCTGTAGAGTGGTGAGTACAACTGTTTAGTTTTATATTCTAATAAAATATATTATTTGAGCCCGTTTTATCCATAACCAATATTCATAAGAATATGTTATCAGAGGCTGAAGCTATGGCTAACCATACCTGTTGTTTTTCTTTTATTACAAACTAAGTAGGAATAGGAAAATATTTGGCACCAAATCTAACCAGAGATTGGTAAACCTAACGAAATACATAATTTTTTGCAGTATAACTTAAACAATGAATGTTAAAATTATTATTGTCAGGTTTTAAGTTTTCACACTTCCTTAAGATCAAGTCTATTCAAAATTTGAGAGTTTGTGTGCAAGTAGCAACTGTAACTAGTGAATCAGTTATACAGTGTGAATATGTTATCAGTCAAGTAACAGAGATGGTGTAGGCCTAACATAAATGTATAACATATTGGCACATGTATGCTGAACAGTTCTAATTGTAGATTAAATA